TTAAACCATTCATTTCCAGAGTGATCCTCTTCCTGCATGGACATCGGTGTAATTAATTTAGGGCCACTTGGATTTAAGCAGGTGCTTAATTCTGGGGGCTTCTTTTTTGTCAAAGCAGAGCCTGATACAGGATTCCCTGTGTCAGATGTAGGACTTTTTAGAGCTACAAGCTGCCCCCAATAAAACACCCAAGCTCAGGGTATATCTGAGCATCACTTGTGTGAGATTTTCAGTGCACAGAGCTGAAACCAAAGGCCCTCCACATCAGACTCTTCTTTTACTGTTTATTTATTAAAAGGGTTGTCCTATTTTCTAGTCAGACTTGCTGACAGGCAGTGTGTACCAGCTAACATTTGCTGTTATCCCGTGCTGTTCCTTGCTGACCCATAACCATTCAGAATTATCTTTCCAAGTCAAACCCAGTGCCATTTTGACCTAGAGTACAACTGCCTGCTTGTTTAGCTACCTTTTTATTTTTTTCCTAAATAGGTTATACTCAGTGATTCTTAAAATCAGTCATGTGGATGTTCACATCAGGTTTCAGTCGAACCAACTAGGTCAAATCTCTGCTCGTAGCTGAGCAGCTCTAATTCTTGTTGGTCAGCCCAGCCTCCCTCTTTTGGGTGTGAGCCTCTCACATGTCTCTCTTCATATTTTGAGTTGTTTGCTGCTCATCCCCTTGGTTTTACTGCAGATAAACAAACTGTGACACTCTTTTTCTACCCAGTTTACCCAGTTTTCCCTCTTTTTTTTTTTTTTTTTCTACTAACAGACTTGCTTGTCCTCATTTTGCTGATTTTTGATCTGGTCTTGAAGCTGGGGCTCCCTTCCATGGACAAACTCATCTCCTCCTTGAAAAGCTTGAGCAGGGCATGCAGTTTGTAAAATCATGATGACACTGCCACTTATTTTCATGGTTTTAATCTACTACAATGCAGTAATTAGCTCAGTTGCCCTGCAAACAAGGACCCATTTCCCTTAGCACCAGGCAGAGGGAGGGATGCAGTCCATGTTTCTCAGTTGCACAGAAGGGCTGCAGCTCCTGAAGGATTTCCTCAGACCACAAATGCCAAGCTCCTGTGGATGCAACCACTGCCAGAGTTTTGTGGCAGCTGAGCAGGTGGATGTGGCCAGTGTGCTCAAGGCAGGGATGTGAAATTAGACAAAAACCAATAAATCAGTAGAAAACCAATGCTGTCTCTTGAACTTTCCCACACAAGTCAACAAGACTTGATTTACCAGCTGTGCATATAGATTTTGTGTAATATTGTTATTGCTTGATTTTATAGCAGAGACATTAACAGTGCTGGCATTTACCTTGTGATGGTTATTGCTCCCAAGTTAACACCTCTGGTGAAAAAGAGCCCGTTGACATCTCTTGGGATGCTGGCTCCAAGCCTGGGTCTTGCCTGTAAAATTTAGTGGCACTGATGAACGTACTTGAGGTAAATTAGAGCAATTCCCTCCTACAGACCCTGACTTTACCTGGGAATTCCCAAATGAGAAAGCTGTACCAGTTTGCTGGCAGAGAATTGTAAACCAGTGCTATGTCACTGCATTGCTTTTATCTCCACTGACGATGCTGACATCTTTTCCCTGGTGCTGCTGTGACATCAAAAGTCTGGTTTAGGACAAATCATGTTTTTCTGAAATTAAATATTAACCAGCAAGCAGTCTAACATTTGTTTTGGCTTTAAGTAGGACTTTGTTTTTAAAGCTTTCCCAATTTCTGTAATTTTAATGAAAAAACATTATTTTTACATTAGGGAAAAAATCAGGCATAAAAATCTGAGGTGCTTGTGATATTTTACACTGCTGAGCTTGGTTTTGTGGTGAATGGCTTTGACCCTTGGTTTTCCTTGTGCTGTTCATGTTTCTGATCACCTTGGGCAGCTCTTCCCTCTCAATACTTATCCATCTCCTCCCAGGGTGTTGTGTCAGCCCTAAATAGAAAGGCTGGTTTCATATCCATGTCTGTTCCCAAGTGGAACTAAGGAATTTCTGGGCCTTTTAATCAGAAGTATCTGATGGAGAGGCAGAGCTAGATATGGATTAATGTCTCAGGGTGATTTTTAGCTCTGGGCTGTGTGGCAGCAACCTTGCAGCTTTACCTCCTCTCTTTCACGGAGCTGTGAGTTAATTTTTGTGGGTGCTTACTTAGCTTTGTGCTGGAAAATGGAGGGAGTTTTAGAAAGAAAGAAGAAAGACACAATTTTCCAATTTAAAAACAATGAAAAAAGGAAGGAAACAGTATGTTCCCAGCTGCCTACCCTCCCAGTGACTGTGGGCAGGTGAGTAGAGCTGCCTGCCTGCCCTTCTTGTGATAAAAAGCATTCCTAGGATATCACAAATGAAAACTTTAACAGTGTAATTGTTAATACAGTCAGTAAAACACTTGATATTCTTTAGTTGTACAAAATTATTACTCCATTGGCAACAGAGAGTGCAGCTGAGTTTGGACCCTGCAGAGATCTTTGACTCTGTATTACCCAATATTTCTAATTCAGCAATTAGGGCGGTGTAAAATCAGTACATCCCCCATCAAATGGGAAATCCTGCCTTATTAAGGCATTCCAATTTAATTGTTAATAGACACTCCAGTGGAATTGGAAGGAATTCTTTGGAACCAGTTAGCAGCCCAATTCTAGTTAACTATCAGTGATAAAGCCTGGAAAAAAACCAAAATAGGGCTGAGCTGCAGTTTGGGCTTTTGTAACAGGAAAAAAAAAAGTATTCATAGATGGGTACAAATCATACAAATATTGGATCATCCTTGCAGAAGATGCAGTGAGCGTGGGCCTGTGTTTGATTCCATATGACTATTCTCATGTTCTTTCGTGAGGCATCTCTCCTGGATTCAGTTACTGTATTTGACAGACCAGATGATTTCTTCTGGTCTTAAAATTTCACGGGTATGTTCAACTGGTGCAAGTGAGAGACAGCACAGCCTGTGTCACAGGGGGGTTGAGGCATCCTGGATAATTATAAAATAAATAAATGCAGTGTTGGTAGAAGAGCATGGAGTGAAGCTGCTGCTGGGAATGGGACGGAGGTGGTGCCCAGCATTACTTAGCACTTGAAAAAGTGCAGGGAGCTCGAGCCCAGTCTGGGAAAGCATCTCTGGAGCAGCACTGACCTGCCAGACGTGAGCATCCAACCACCCTCCTCTGTCTTATGTGCCAGCAGTGAGGCTCAGGGCAAAATAACACACCTGGTGTATTGTTCCTCATGGGCTTGTGCATTTCCAAGAGAGCCACACTGGTTTGGGTAGGAAATGTGAAATTGCCTGTGTGTTATCTGACAGCTCCTTGATGGAGTCTGAATTCTTACTTGGTGGCACATATCAAATGGGGAAAAACCCTTGATTTTGAAATTTGTAGTGGAATAGAATCACAGAATGGTTTGGGATGGAAGGGAGCTTACAGAGCATCTCATTCCACCCCCTGCCATGGGCAGGGACACACTCCACTGGACCAGGTTGCTCCAAGCCTCAACCTGGCCTTGAACACTTGGAGGGATGGGGTAGCCACAGCTTCTCTGGGCAGAATAACCATTCTGCTCTTCCAAACAACAATTAATAATTGACCATATTTCAGAGTTAATACACCATTAGGATAGGGTGTGTCTAATACATAAATGCTGAGGGTTTTATAGAAATACTAAATTTAAGTTGAGAAGGTACATTTGCTTTCTGACAGTACTTCCTTCTGGTGTCTGGGGCTGAGCTCTCCAATCTCCACCAGCTACAGATGGTTTTATGTGTTTTATGAGGCAGTAGCTCTGCATCCCTCAATGTCAGGAGTCAAACTCCAAATCTGAACTGAAGGGTGTCAGAACTAACAATGGAGGAGCAGCACATGCCAACAACATTCATGGCAGGTGCTACTGTAGGGCCAGGAGCAATTTTCTCTTCAGTCTAGAACAGATCACTCCCTCCCTTAGTGCTTTGCTTTACTATTATTGTGATTTTTTCTTCAGAGAAGTGGGTTTCAACCTGCAGCCAGAAAGTATTCCCAAAGTGCTATTTTACTATTTATTTTCGTCCAACTTCCTATTACTGTGGCAACATGCACTTTGAATTTCATTAGTTTTATGCATTTAAGTTCCCTTTTTAAACCTTTATAAGGTCAGACCCTGCTTGGGTAAACCAACAATGTATTAAATTTGAGGTTCTGAGTAATACTTTTCCTTAAACAGCTGTAGATCACAGGTAGTGAGGGCATTAGGGCTTCTGCTTTTTCGAGAAATATTTGTGGGCATTACTGATAAGCACATGGACCAAATTATTTGGTAATTAGATAAGTATCTTCCATCACAAATTCATTCTCGTGTGCTTGTGGTCCATCAGCAGCACATTACAGGGCGTCTGCCCTGAAACCATGTGGGAGGAGGGTGTGCAGGCTGTCATGCTGTGCACTGCAGCTCAAAGCTCTTGCAGCTGGAGCTGCTCCAGAGCTCCTTGGGATGGCCAGGAGCATCCCTCAGCATTGTGGGGTGCTGAGCATCCCACACAGGCTGTGGGGCTGCTGCTGAACCAGCAGTGGGTGCGATGCCAACCTCAGTGTTGCTCCTTGTAGCTCTGGTTTCACAGGGAGGTTTCACCACCCTGTCCTGGTGACCAGGGATTCTATGGAATGAGAGTTATTCCAGCTGGCTTTTTTTGCCCAGCCAAGACTCACATCACCCCGAAGAGGGTTCAGCTGGGGAGAGCCAGCCCACAAAATCCCTGTTGTCTGTGTTTGCCACTTCAGTGCTGATTACTAAAGGGGGGCCAATGTGCTGTCTCTTGATTTCCCACTGCTGTGGCCCCTGGGAAAGAAGCCCTTAGCTGCTTTCACCTGTGACTTGCATGGTTTTGCCTGACAGGTGAGGAAGTACAAGTAGTTCTCCTGCCTCCATTAGGCTTCTGGCTAAAGGCTCCTCTATTAGCCTTTAATAAATAGGCTCTTTGCAGGCTTCTGGTTTCACAGCCACTCATGAAAGCAGGCTGTGAGGAGCTGGTTTAGCTCGTGTTGGCCACATCCCTGCAGAACGGGCCCTGCAGGCTGCACAGCAGAGTCACAGCTGCCTCTTCCAGTGAGTTTGTACCGAGAAGTGCTGGGAGCCCTGGCTGGCAGGAGGCTGAGCTTCTCAAACTTCTCATGCACGTTTTTATGTGCAACTTTCTGACTGAAGTTCAACTCAGAATACAGCGAATAATTCAATTGCATCTCTGCCGCTGGGTTATATAAGAGAAAGCTGAAATCGCGCCTTGTTTCGTAAGGTAACATGTATCCTTCTGCTGATCTGAGCAATTTCCCTGGTTTGCAGTGGGGTTTTGCTACGCCTTCTTGGCTGAGCTGGGATTTTGAGGGGGAGAGGGTGCTGTAGCAGTTTCCTACATTGACTAGCATACAAATGTTTGAAACCTGGGCTTATTCTGTGTGTTTTGGTGGTGTTTCAGCTCGCTGAGGAGACCGGAGCAGCTGGACCAGGCCGCGGGCCAGCGGGCAGCACCGCCCTCCCTCGCACAGACCGCAGCCAGCTCCCAGAGCCCCCGGGACATGCGGGGCCGGGGCCAGCCGGGACCGGCGGCAGAGGGGCCGCGGAGGACGCTGCAGGTGGACGCCAGGAGCCAGGGCTCGGGGAGGTCTCCCTCGGTGTCACCGGAGCGAGGCAGCACCCCTACCTCTCCCTACTCCGTCCCGCAGATCGCCCCCCTCCCCAGCAGCACCCTCTGCCCCATCTGCAAGACCACAGAGCTCACCTCCTCCCCCGGCCAGCCGAACTTCAATGCCTGCACTCAGTGTCACAGCAAGGTCTGCAACCAGTGTGGCTTCAACCCCAACCCGCACCTCACCCAGGTAATGCCTCCTCTTCCTCACGCAGCCCTCATGGCTGCTCCAGCTGGGTTCTTGCTGTCTCCAAGCCCACAAGTTGCACCTTTGCTCTTGACAGCTGCAAAGCGTTGACCAGGAGCAAGGGTTCTGCTGGTAATAAAGGAATAATTGTGATAATGTGAGCTTTGATGAGATGGGGGAGATAAATTACTTGAAGGGGATTGGTAGATTACCAGGGCTCAGCTCTGTTGAGATGCCAAAACGTTTAGCTGAATTCTCCATTCTCAGAATCGTCCCGGAGTCAGAGGACTCCGGGAGGGAGCAGGGGGGCTGCACTCCACGCTGAGGTGTGGAGCGTCTCAGCCCTGACTCACAGCAGGTTCTGGTGGGTTCCCGGCAGCGAGGGAAGCGCCGGAGTCGTGCAGAACACGCGGCGGTGCTGGGGAGGAGCGGCCGTGGGATGTGCGAATGGATGCTCTGGGGGCGGAGGCGGCAGCGGTGCCGGAGGTGGTGCTGGGGCTGGCTGAGGTGAGCGGCTCCCCGTGCCAATCTCTCAGGTCACAGATCTCCGCACTGGGTGGGAAGTGATTGGATGGTTTTTTCAGCTCTGAAGAGCCAAGCCACATAGGTTTCTGATCTTAAAACAGAAACTTAAAGCCGCGCTTTGGAAAGCAACTGTGCCACTCCAGTGCTTGATAAGACAGGATTTAGGCACTGAAGCCCCTTGGATACCCAGGATTTCCTGCCAGTAGCCATTTTGTGGTAAGCATGCAATGCTTGCTCCTGATGCTAGACACAGCAGTGTCTAAATTATTGTTTAAGGAATTCCTGCCTTCCAGTCCTTTATCCTGATGGAAGAAATCGTAGAGTTATGGAACGGTTTGGGTTGGAAGGGACCTTGAAGATCACCTAGTTCCAGCCTCCTCCCATGAGCAGGGATACCTTCCACTAGACCAGGTTGCTCCAAGCTCCATCCAGCCTGGATTGAACACTTCCAGGGATGTGGCATTCACAGCTTCCCTGGGCAACCTTTTCCAGTGCCTCACTGTGCTGATAGTAGAGAATTATTTCCTTTTATCCAGTCTAAACATACTCTGTTTGAATTTGAAGCCATCCCCCCTGTCCTGTCACTACATGCCCTTGTAAATAGTCTTGCCCCATGAAGGAGATACCCCTGCCATAGTGATGCATAATTAGCTGGTTCCTGATACTACTTCACAGGTATTTAGTCCTGCAGAGGTCCAAATAAGGTCTCAGATCTTAATAAAGACCCCTGAGGTCCAAATTCAGGGTCCTGCAAAGAAATGCCATGGCCCACTTTTCTGTTTCGTTTATAAGTTTCATGTTTAATTAGATTTGCCAAGCATTAATTTGGTGTCCAAGCATTGCCTTGAAAGTTGTCCAGTTACTCTGAATAGTATCAGTTAACAAGGAAATAACAAAATAAAAATGCAACAGTTTCTCTTTTTCTGGTCTTGTCTCTTCTGCTTTGCCCCAAGAGCTTATCCGCAGTGGGCTCTACCCCGAGTCTCTTGCAGATACCAATATTAAAATATGTCTGGGCACAGAGACTTTGCTTAGCAGCTCTAGGCCATTTTGCTCTTGGCTTCTCTAGGTCTCTGTGCCCTCAGAAATGTGTTTGACTGCAGAGCATTTTTAAACATCAAATCAAAAAAATTGGACCTGAAATGGAAAAAGATGGTTTCTTTGTCTGTCCTGAGTTTAATATGCATTTCAGCAGCAAGCAACCTTATGACTTGTAAGTAGGTCGTTGTGGGAGCTGGGGGATGAAAACAGTTGTCCAAGAGAAGTGTTTGCAGCTCGTGTTGGCAGCCCGTGTGATGGGCTGGCTGGGGGAGCAGCAGTGGTTGCTGCCTTGTTGGAAGTGTGACTCATTTTCCTCAACATCATTCCTTGTGCTGCTATTCCAGAGTCACACGGAGATGCCTGAAGCACCCTGATGCTGTTACTGGGGGGTAGTGGAGGCAGCTGGAAGGGTGCTCTCTACCTTGATGGTGGCAGCTGGGTTGGGAAGGATCTCTGGAGGTTACCTGTTCCAACCCCTGCTCAAAGCAGCAAGCAGGGGAGAGATCTCCAGGCTCTACCCCACGGGCTCCTGGAACCTTCCAAAGGTGGCCATGCTGGGCCCAGCTGCTCCACTGCCTCCCCTCACAGGGAAAACATCCACTCAGTCTGGTCCCTCCAACGCAGCAGGTGCTGCAGGGTGGCTGCACAGCACTGCTCACCAGGTGTTGTATTCTCTATTTGCATTTCTTATGAATATACTTTCATGTGTATAGTCGATATTGCCACTTTGTGCTGCAGTAGATAGGAATTTGTGACTTCTTTCTGCTTTCAGGGCTCTGTAGCAGGATTAAATTATCAAAAATACCACATTTCCTAAGAAAATCAAACCCAAGAAAACCAAAATTGTGTTTTGCTTGGTACATCCTCTGCTGTGCAATCTGTGGAATTGCCAGAAACCACTGGCATGGTGAGTTGGGAGCCACAGGGCTGGTTTAGCATAATGATCTCTCAAACTCTTTTGAGAGCTGGGGTAGAAATCTTGTATAAACACTTTGTTTTCATTAGTCTTTTACTTGTATATATATCCATAGCATAAAATAGCTTTCTGTAATATATATTTAAAGAAAATAATAGACTTAGTGTGTGATCTGCACTCCATCAAGTCCTATCTTGCCACTTTCAACTCCAAGAACAGATTTTTCAGAGGAGGGTTGACTGCACTGCCTTCACTTTGTACTTTGGTAATACCTTCTCCTCAGAAGCACATAATTCCCTTTGAATTTGGCTGTTATTTTATTCCTTTTTGTTTGGCTTGATGGTCATTTTATCTTAAAAGCAAGTCATGAATTTCTGTGCTGACGAAGCAATCAGCTTCTGTGGCATCTTGAGTTGATCACTTGCTGAGAAAAACAAAATCTCTTTTTGGGTTTTTATTTCACTATCTCTTTATTCCTTTGAGCAGCAGTTCATTCTTGTTTCACAAGACTGGGCAAACAGAAGTTCCTGTCTGCTGCTGGTGTCACTCACATTTTACATGTAGATAATTATATTGTTCCCTCTGTTCATCCCGTGCCCTGAAATAGCTGCTGTCATAGTTTTCAGTTTGGTCGTGTGCTGGCAGGCTGCTTTCCTTGTTCATTCACTTTTTCCTGAAGGTCAGTGCTCTTGCCATAGACAGTTATTTTAAGCAAGGAAAGGGAATTATCAAGCAGGGAGCAATGGTGACACCATTAAAGACAACAAGTTTTGAAATAACATGCTAAAATCTAGCAGTTTATTTACAGCCCTGTGCAGGAAATAGGTTTTTGAACGGAGATGTGTTATTTTAAGTGCAACATTGCAGCTTTCAGATTCTAGTATGATTTTTAATTTCTCATTAAAACTTTTTTTCTACTTTTCCTCTGTGTTGTCTCTGAGGGTGTTTTTGGACAGCTTGTTCTGCAGGACCACACCAGTGATGCTGTCATCTCCTCCAGGGGGAATAGCTCCGTTTCAAACCAGTACAATAGGTTTAGAAAATCCTCTTTTTATACATCTTTCACTTTGTTCTGCCGCTCCTGTGGCTTTTGCCTGACTGATCCAGCAGCATGTTCATCTGATTGGATTTGCTCTGTTTGGTATCATAAGGAGTAACCTGCAGGCATCCTTTCTGCTTCTCTGGGGTTTTGAAGTGCTGCTGCACATTGCTAATTTGATAAATTAATTTCTTCTTCAGTCTTCTCTTAAAATTTGTTGGGTTTCTTTTAATTTGTTTTCTCACGATCCTAAGCGCTAAACCAAAAACATGAGGAACTTGAGTTTGATTTTAATCAAGAGCAGCAGCACAGCATTAAAACGTGTACTTTAGTTAGAGCTGAAATTAAACTCAAAATGCCTGGCTGCCTGATAGGTCTGCTTGGAACCACTTGGGATTATAGGAAACCTTTCCTGTCTGCCTTACATTTCTGTTGTGCCTTTTTCAATTTGAAGTAGTGTTTATTAGAGGCAGTTTCATAAATATTCAGACACACCCCCTGAGTAAAAGGAACATGTTTATACATGTGTGTTCTTTATGAAATTACTTTTGTTCCTGAACTCTTTTGATTTTATTTGCTGTATTTGTGGCCTTATTTATGATTTATAATTGTTAAACTTCAGTTCTGCCCCACGTTTTTAGCTTCACTTAGGGAGATTGGAGAGGTTCTTTATATTTTTTATGCCATGAATATAATGAATTATGAAACATTTAAAATATTTGAGAGCAAATTTCTTCCCTGCATGCTCTGTGCCATGTAAGCTCATAACAAATCTTTGATCAAGGACCTTCAGCAAGCAAAACGTGAAAAGTCTCAAGGAGAATTAAAAACTTGCTGGTTGGTTTCCCGACAGTGGTCAGGGTTGTTTGACAGGAGAAGAAAATTCTCAGCACATCTTGAGTTATCTGTAGCAAGAGGAGGTAGCCACAAAAATAATTTAAAGTTTTTAAGTAAATATTTAAATTGTATTAATGGAAAATAGACCATCAGTTGAGGAGATGAGACTGAAACAACGTGAGCATTGTGTATCCTGTCATAACCTCACAGCAGGTGGTTTTCTGCTCAGTAGTATAAGAAAATTTGAGTCAAGTGGAAAAAAGAAGTGGGGGGAAGCTGAGGGTGACACCATGCAGAGCATTTCTGGTGGGAGGAATGGGGCTTGTTGGCACTGGAGGAATGTCTCTGGTCCAAAGCCTTTTCCAGCCTGGCTGTACTGTCAAGAGTGGTGCCTGCCCACAGCATCACCTCAGTAATTTAGCAAATGACTGAAAAAACCTCAAATATTGAAATTGTGAAGCCCTTCTTACACTCCTTTCAAAGGACCCCATTTCTCATTTTGTTCATTGTCCCAGTTTTACACATTGCACCATGTTGGTGTCCAATGTTCAGTAAAACCCAGCATATTTTTGAGTTAGGGGCCCAATCTAACTTATTTACTCTGCAGGAGACTTTGGCTTGATTAGTGACCCCTGGTTCATACAC